AACCAACCAACCAACCAACCAACCAACCAACCAACCAACCAACCAACCAATCAACCAAATAAATGTCCTTTGCACAGACGGGTATGGTGGCTCATGCCTTTAGTCCCAGAACTTGGGAGGCAAAGTGAAATGGACCTCTGTGAGTTTGAGGCCAGCCTGGTCTACAGAGCAAGTTCCAAAATAGCCAGAGCTAGACAATAAAGAAGGAGGACGAGGAGACGTAGGAAGAGGAGGAGAACGAGAAGGAGGAGAAAGAGGAGAAAGAGGAGTCAGAGTTGGAGTCTTTGGTGGGGTATTGGAATTTCAGAATTTGGGATGGATCCAAAAAAGGAAATCCCAGGCAGTAACCATGGGCTCTTCAGTAAATTTCATTAAGGGCATGTTGCTTCCTGTTTGTTTGTTTGTTGCTTCCAAGACAAGGCTTTTCTATGTAGCCCTGGTTGTCCTGGAACTCTCTTTGCAGACCAGGTTGGCCTCAGAGATCCTCCTGCCTCTGCCTCTAGAGTGCTGGAATTAAAGATGTGTGCCAACACACGGAGCTGCCTCCCTGCCTTCCTGCATTTCTGCCTTTTTTCAGAGGAGATACTCTGTACTTTGATTTTGTTTCGGCATAAATCCTTTGCTACTCTGTTTTGGGGGTTTCATTTCTTTGAATAAATGCTAAGAATCTGCACACATTTTGTCCAGAGACTGCAGATAAGAAGAGTGCAGTAGCAATCCAGCATGGTGGTGCACACCTGTAATCCTAGCACTCTGGGAGGCAGAGGCAGCCAGATCTCTGTGAGTTCGAGGCCAGCCTGGTCTACAAAGTGAATCCAGGACAGGCAAGGCTACACAGAGAAACCGTGTCTCAAAAAAAACCAAAAACCCAAACCAACCAACCAACCAAACAAACAAACAAAAATAGTGGAGTAGGTTTGAGGTTTGGTCTTTTGTGAGAGACAATGTCCAGAAAGCTTGCGACTTTGTCCAGGGCAGAGGTTAGTTTTATAAGAAGGGATGAGAGGATGAGAATATTTGAATATATCAGTTTGTGTCCATACCACAAAATGTCCCAGATGGTAATTTTTAGCGCTTGTTGCTAAAGGGTGAACTCAGGACTTAACTAATACCAAGGATATACATCCTGAGGACACTCAGTCAGTTGGTAAGATTTTTAAAGGGCTAAGGATTGAGCCTAGCTGGTGTTTTACCTGTAAGCTATATCTTTAATTCACTTTTAAATTTTATTTTGAGACAGTGTCTCATTAACTTCACAGGCCAGCCTTGACCTCACTCTGTGGTTCAGGCATGTCTTTGAATTTGTGACCCTTCTGTCTCAGCCTATGGAACAGCTGATATTACAGGCAGTGCCATCATTCTACACTATTTTTTTACAGCATAAATGCAGAGTTTTTATTTGCCAATTAAAATAAATAGGTAACAGATTCACATGAAAAAGCAGAAATGAAGAAATGTGGTCATGCTCTGTTATAAACTAAAGCATTTGGTGAAGAAAAATAGGTCAGTGTTTGAATTTAATATCCTAATCCAAAGGAGAATGGAATGTCAGCAAAGTGTGTGCAAACATGCTCTCTCACTACTACAGCGAAACGGACCTTCTGCTTGTGTTGGCAAGTTCATTAGCAGAGGCTAAGGGTCAATTCCAATGGACGCGCGTTGACTGCTGTGGGCTAGTGCTGATGGGAATTTAATGATGAGCACATTGTGTTACAGAGAGGTGCATGATGGGAGTTACACTTTAGGAATTTGACTCTGCAAAGGGCCCGTTTTAGGGCTCTATGCTGGAGATCACGAAGCCCAGAATCAGGGGGATTTTGGTGGGGCTGAAAAGGATCAGACATGGAAAATGTAAAAACCCAGGAGAACAACTTACTAGATTTGGGGAAGTGAACATGGTTGCTGGAGAGGGGTTAAACTTTGGTTACGAGGGAGGGTTAGTGATGTCCCATTCCAGTTAAACAGATGCTGAGAGGAGGGTGCACCCAGGACCTGTGTGGTCTCAGCACTTAATAACTGGGTTGGTTTCACTTGCGTTGTCTTTGAGGGAAGGCCTCATTTTGTGTCGGTTGTTTTCAAACTCACTACCCAAACTTCGGGGCTATAAGTGTGTGTCACCACTCCTGGGAACAACTGTTGATAGGAGCTGTTTTTCCTGAATGCAAGGATCTACTTTAACCATCTCCTTGACAACAAACACTGAGATAAGAGGAAGGGAGGAGTTCAAGGTCATCCTCAGCTACACAGGAATTTTGAAGCTGGCCTGTCTCAAACAGTAGCAGCATCCCAAGAAAAAGAAGAGGAAAGGCTTGTCCTGGTGCTATGAGTTTGTAATCAGAATTATTCAGGAGACCTACGGCACCAGGGTCAGAAGTGGCTGGGGATATGTTTCAGTAGGACTCTTGCCTAGGCTTATGTGGGGCACTACCTTTAACCCTAGAACATGCTCAATAAATAAGTAAATAAAACGAGAGCCCGTTGTGGTGGCACTTGCCTTCAATCCCAGAACTCAGCAGGCAGATAACTGAGTTGGAGGCCGGCATGGTTTACAGAGCTACAGTTCTAGGACAGCCAGGGCTACGCAAAGAGTTCGAGGCCAGCCTGATTTACAGTTTGGGTTCTAGAATAGCCAGGGCCACACAGAGAACCTCCATCTTGAAAAACCAATAAGGCCTTTTCTGGGCAGAGCAGGAGAGAAAAAGAGAGAGAGGAGGGGCTTCGGGTTCTCTTATAAGGTGACACAGAGCATGCGTAGGTGATTCCAGGTGGTCCATGGGTAGCTTCACAGATGCCTGATATCTGGTTCGCCAGGTCCCTTGGGGCTGGCCGTAAAGATACCTATTTATGGGTCCCAACATAAGTAAGTAAGCAAGCAAGTAAATAAGTAAACCAAGTGAAACAAAAAAGTTTTTTTTTCCTTGTAAGGCAGGGACAAGGAGAATGAACAATGTAAATAAAATGATTGGTTAACATAAAATTATTTTTTAAACAGATTTATGTTTATGTATATATCTTTGCAATGAGATTAGATGAGAGTGTTTAATTCCCTGTAGCTGGGGTTAAAGGTGGCTGTGAGCAGACCAAAGTGGGCTTTAGGAACTGAGCTCACGTCCTCTGGAAGAACAAACGCTGTGAACTGTGACCGTATCACCAGTCCAGTTTTTTGTTTCCAAGAGGTTCACTAAGTTGTCTAGGCCAGCCTTAAACTCCTGAGGCTGCATCACTAGCTCACTAGGCAAAGCAATGGATAGACTTCTGTTAAATGGAAGTAATGGCACCGTCTACCACAGGGTCCATATGGCAAGAAAATGAAGTCTTCTGTGAAGAAAACGATGCACAGTGCCAGTCTATTAGTTTATTACTTTATTATTATGAAAATATGTTTTTGGTATCTTATTCTTCCAGATAATCAAGGGGTTTTTTTTAATTATTATTTTTAATTTTGCCCCTTCCTTCATTCCCTCCCAATCCCACCTTCCCTCCCCTCCCTCATCTCCTCCCTGCCCCTCTCTAAGTCAACTGATAGGGGAGGTCCTCCTCCCCTTCCATCTGACCCTAGCTTATCAGGTATCTTCAGGACTGGCTGCAATGTCCTCCTCTGTGGCCTAGCAAGGCTGCTCCTCCCTTGGGGGTGGGGAAGTCAAAGAGCCTGCCATTGAGTTCATGTCAGAGACAGTTGAATCAAAGGTTCTATTTCCTCCTTAGTTTGAACATCCTGTTTATTGTTTGTTTGTTTTCCTTATCTAAATGAGGGCTCATGTATCCCAGGATGCCTTCTAACTTAATGTGTAGCCACTTTCCAAGTGTTGGGATTTCAGGAATATGCCCAGGTCAGCTCAGCTTCGACATTTCTAACGGAGATATTAACTAATCATAATTAATGATCCTGTCTAATTCTTTTGAAAGGGATGAACTCTAATAATTGATTTAAACCCACAAAAATTAACTAAACAATATCTGCTAATGAAATCAAACACGTTTGATAGGTTTGGGTGCTTAGACTCTATCATCTATTTGTCTGTCTGCCTGCCTGCCTGTCTGTGTGCATGCATGAGTTTTTGTGCACTACCTGTGTGTAGCTGGCCTCAGAGGCCAGAGGTCCCTAGGAGCTAGAGTTAAAGACAAGTGTTATCTGATAGCCATGAGCTCTGGGATTGAGACCTGGGTTCTCTGCAAGAGCAGTAAGTGTTTTTTAACCAACTGAGCTAATGATCCAACCCAGGAAAATAAAGTTAAAAACATGTGGTTTATAGAATAGGCTACCGGTGCATGCATGTAAATCCTGACATACGGGAGGCAGAGGCAGGAGGATCTGGGGTTCAAGGTCAGCCTAGGTTACAGAGTGAGCTTCAAGCATGGGCTAGGTGAGACCCTGTCACCAAACCAAACCAAACCAAACCAAACCAAAACAAAACAAAACAAAACAAAACAAAACAAACGAGTTGTTTATCATCCTTCACTGATGCTCTTTGTCTCTTTTGTCTTGCATGAACATTCTGTAAGAGACAGAAAGGCCTGTACTAAAGCTCTTGGTGGTACCCAGCTGGATTTAGAAGCTCCAATCTCATTTGCTCAGTCGGCTTCAGAATGGCCTCATCCTTCCTTAAAGGCGGAGCTCACTGCTATAACTGAGATGCTCTCAATAGTTGTAAACCGAATGAAGAGGTCCTGAGTGGCACTTACAAATGACACCTAGAGTGATCCTTGTGGACAGACAGGAAAAAGTGAAGAAGTAGCACTTCACCCCCCCCCCCCCCCAGGAAGGGTGGTGGTGTTCAATAATGTTTTTTATATGAGGAGGCAGAGAACGATACAGCTGGAGAATTAAATGGCAAGCTCAGCACACAGATGGGTAAGAAAACACTGCATTGTCAACTAGGCAACATCTGGTGCATTCAAGTCAGCCCAGATGTCTAACCAGCTAAGCAAAAGTTCACCTACCTGTCAGCAGATACTTGTGTTTTGCTGCAAGGAGCGGGAATGTAAATGTAACAGCCAGAAATGAGTCATGATCTACAAGGAAAAAAAAAGAGACACTGTTTAGAAATCAGTATCTTTCCCGGCAGGAGAGACGGTTCAGTGGTTAAGAGCAGGGGCAGCTGTTCCAGAGGACCTGGTTCCATTCAGCAGCACTTACATTGCAGGCTTATAAGCAGCCTTGGCGTCAGTCCTAGGGGATTGGGTGCCCTCTTCAGACCACTGTGAGTACTGCACGCATGGAGATGCACAAATACATACCCAGGCACTCATATACATAAAAATGAGTAAAATCTAAAATACAGAACAAATCAAAATAAAGACAAAGACAAACCTTCCTTTTAACAGACAGGGAACATTCAGCGGGAAGAGAAGCAACTGAATCGTGAGAAGGCAGCTTATGAAAATTATCACGGACTGGAGAGATGGCTCAGAAGTCAAGAGCACTGGCTGCTCTTCCAGAGGTCCCGAGTTCAATACCCAGCAACCATCTGGTGGCTCACAACCATCTGTAATGAGATCTGGTGCTCCCTTCTGGCCTGTAGGCATGCAGGCAGAACACTATACATAATAAATAAATAAATCTTTTTTAAAAAAGAGAGAAATGTAGAAAAGTATTGCTTCTTTTCAAATTATATTATGCTTTCTTTAGGCCACTGCTGAGAACATATAGCACTGAAAACAGAGCCCTTTACCCACCACACACACACACAAACAAAAAAACAAAAAACAAAAGAAACCCCAAACCCAACCCAACCCAACCCAACCCAACCCAACCAAACCAACCAAACAACCTCAAAAAACAAAACAAAACAAAACAAGACAAAACAAAAAAAACCCCAAACAACCCCAAACCCAACCCCTCAAATAAAGACAATTAGTTTTTATTTATTTATTTTAAACTACTTGTATACGTGTGTAAGTATATGTACACATGTGGCATGTACAGATGGCCCTAAAGCTCTAGTGGACAAGGAGGCAAAAGCGGAAACGTGGTGCATTCAGCAGTATCAGTGGGCATCATCTTTAGAGAGACTGGAAACTTGGCAGGTTCCATTCACTCTCTTAGGCCCCACCTGCTGAGACACAAAAGTATCTCTCAGTCAGTCCAGGACTCTTCTCTCCTGGTTTCTTTTGCTGCAAGTGGAGAACATGCATCCAGTTTGGCAGGCAAAATGCATCCCCAAACTGTCTTGTGCCTCTTCTCTGCAGTTCTCCTTGTTCTGTAAGAAGAATGCGCCTTGTTCGACATCGGTGTACTCTGGCACAGGTCAAGCAAGACACCTTGCTTCATTTCCATTCCCACCACTGGCTGGGACAACGGAACTCTTGCTCACTCAGAGCATCAAGGGCTACTTCTGTGGTCATCAGCCATTTTGACGAGTTTCTCACAGCCTGGGGCTGGAAAAGAGATATACAACTCTATCTTGACACAGCTTAGGAGGTGCCATGAAAGAGAGCATATTTTTGTTTCTCTTTCTTTCTTTCTTTCTTTCTTTCTTTCTTTCTTTCTTTCTTTCT